CTCTGGGGCGGGGGTGGGGGTGGATGCCTGAGGGAGGTGGGTTGAGCGCTCCCAGGGGAGCGCTCTGGGGAGGTGGATGTGAGTGAACAGCATTGTTAAGGCCAGGCTAGGTGGAGCCTGGAGGGCTGGGGGGAGTAAGTGCAGAGCAGCGGAGACCTTACAGGGCAGGGCAAATGCTCTCAGAGTCCTGTGAGCAGTGCTACAGGTTCCTGTCGAGGCAGCCATGGCACACTGGTTCAGGGGTGACAGTGACATCTGCTGGGACGCTGGGAGGAGGGTCAGCATGCATGCCCTGGCAACAGAAGGTCCGGCATGCTGGGACCAGGGATGTCCCCAGGAGGCAGCCTCACTGAGCAGCTCTGTCTCAGTGGAGAGCACTGGCTTGGGGACCCGGTGACATGGGGCTTGGCAGGGGGACCTACAGATGTGGCTCTGCAGGAGTCTTCTGTGCCCACCATGTGCTGGCCCGTGGTCGGAGAGCCAGAGGGGAGGCAGTTGGCCTGAATGGCAGCAACTGGCTTCGTCCTGAGGGCTCCCCAGGTCCTTCCAGGCTGGGAGGGTGAGGAGGGGTGCAGCCCCTGTGTGGGGTGTGGGGCAGGAGCGCGGCCCACCAAAATCTCAAGCAAGGAAGCCCTAGGAACCATCAGCTGCCAGGTGTGTGCGACCAGCTGTGTGGGTCCTGGTACAGGGCCTGGAGACTACTCAGTGAGCATTCGTGGCACGAGGGCAGCAGCCCTGGTGGCAAGGGTCTCTGCAGCGTGGAGGAGAGAGGCAGGGCTGTTGATGAGCATCAGGGAAAGCAGCTGTGGCAGGGACGGGCCAGCCGACTGGTGACCACTGGTCAGTGGGTCTGCTGAGGGCCAGAGGGACTCCATGCAGAAGGGCTCAGTGGGGTCTGCCCACCCTCTTGAGAGCTGCTGGCAGGAAGGGCGAGACCAAACTGCTTTTTCTCTGCAGTCTTTAGGGGTGGGGAATAAATTTTGGATTTGAACAAGTTTAGAAACAAGTGGCTTTCAAGCAGAAGCCCATTGTTGGCCCATAATGCAGACCTCAAGACGGCTGCCATGGCCAGGGCCGACTGGATAGGAGAAAGGAGTCTGGGGCATCTGCTGTCTTCATGGGAGCAGAGGGAGGAGCAGGACCCTGGAGGGCAGGCGGCAGACCTTCGGGTTGGGTCCAGTTCTCAGTGGAGAGACCTTGAGCCGATTCATGGTAAAGAACGGGGTCACTGTCCTGGCTATTGGACACTAGCTCCCAGGGACACCTGGACACAGGCAGTGGCCAGGGCCAGGGCTGGGAGGCCTGACATCACCTCGCCTCCCTGGGGTGGACTCAGAGCCAATACAACCCCAGAGCTCTGGCCTGGCCTGGCGCGGGCGTGGTGGAAGGGTAGCCAGTTCTTTGCTCCCGCCGTAGGCTGTGAGTCCTGCACCCTGGGCAGGTGGGCAGGGAGCCCTGGGGGATGAGTTCCCTCTGGAATACAGGGTCCTCCTGCACTCACAGGGTCCATGGCTGCTGCCCCCTGACAGCCCCTCAGGGAGCGATGGGTGGTGCCCATGTGTGAGGGTTGGGCTGGCCCATTGCAGAGCCCCAGCCACTCTGCAAGTGGGCTCACCTCCTGGCCAGACAGGCTGGCCAGGGATGCTGCCAGCACAAGCCGGAGTCCAGGGTGTGAGCCCTGTCTGCCTGACTGAGGCTGGACCCCAGGCCCTCCCTAACACCCCTGGCTCCTCTAGCCCCATCACATCTTCCAGATGTCCTCACCCTGGGCCTGACCTAGGAGCTAATTACGCCAGTGAGCACAGCGGCAACCAGAAGGAGGAAGAGAAGCCAGTAGGTGGGTGGTAGGCAGGGCAGCAGGAGACACAACCTCAGGCAGCCTTGAGGGCCTGCTCCTCCCTGACTCAGCCCTCCTTTTCTACCAGTGGAGGCACAGCAGGGGGAAAGGTTGCAGGGCCCCCTGTGCAGCAACAGCTTCAGCGAGCACCACAGAGCAGCTCGGCATGGCAGGTGCCCTCATGTGGCCCCGGTCTCTACCTTGAGAACATAGTCCTCTTGGCAGGAGACACTGCAGGACGGGCAGTACCTTGAGAGGTGTGGCTCACCCCATTCCTGCCCTAGGTTTGAACCTTGGCTGGATCTGGGTGTTCCCATCGAGTCAGGGGTGCAGGGGGACCAGGGGTCTACCCCCAGGAGTGGGTGGTTCAGGAGCGCACGCTGCAGCCCACAGGGCAGCACCGGACAGCTCAGGGTCCTGAGCTTCTCCTGAGAAGTGGCTCCAGAGTACTGGTCTGCCTGAGTCCAGGTGCCCAGGCTTGGGGGAGCGTAGCCTGAGCCACCTTTACATGTGTTAGCCTAACTTCTTGGGGTCCAGTTCACGACATACCCCCAGGTCCAGAACAGCATGGCTGCTATAGCCCGCCCTGGACAGAAGACTGTCCCCAGGCTTCACTTAGACCCCCGTGGGGCAGGAGGCTGAGGACCCCTCTGCAGGTGAGATGCAGA